GAAATATCTTTAGGGTATTTGGAAGTACCTGAAAGAATCAATAATTAACCAGAATTAAGCCATCAATCCCAGAACGAATAAAAATGAGATTAGTTTGAGCTGTGAAAGGTTACATTCTGCACGGTTACTTTCTCTGAGTGATAGTAAATGAATGAATTAATGCATTTCCTTTATTGCAGTTGGAATTGCCTATATAAAATATAGTGTTCCCCTTGTGATTGTTTTTAATAAAAGACAGAAATCGAATTCAGGTTTGTTAAGTGCGAGTGAAATAACTTGATGAATTTTAAGTTTCTCTTCTGATAGCTTAGTTCCATGAAATAAGAAGTTTTAAAGTTTTTTTGTTTGCTTTTTAAATTACATTGCATGGCATATCCTACACAAATGTAGCTTCCAGATACATATCCTCACACCTGAAATTTCTCCACTGCTTCCATAGGTAATGCACTGTAAGATTCTGCTGTGTACACCTCTAATCTGAGAAGTAAGGGAATTTATGTTAATTCTGGCCTTGATCTGGATTTATACTTCAGTCTTATATTAAAAATGCAAGAAAGAAAAAACCACACTGAAATAAAAAGCACTGCTGTGAGCACACCTTATCATGGCCAGTTCAAACAGCAGAGATCAGGTACAGGGCGTGAGGTATCTCACCTCCTTTCAGACCATATATAAATCACAATTGACTTACTGGGCATTCCATACCCCCGTGAATCTGTCCTAAGTACACAGTCCTATTCCCTGGACCTTGAGGGTCCCTTCTTCAATATGCCAAAAATAGCAGTAACTGCTCTTCCTACCCAACTTGTAGGATATTATATTACTGTGATTTCAAGCAAGTAGAGCTTAATAAGAGTATACAATACATTTTATGTGCTGCTTTGAGTATCACTGCTCTCTGATCACTCCTGTTCTTGCTGGAAGGAATGTTAGCAGGGATGCATCTGGCACTGAAAGAGTTTTTTCGTTTCATTGTCCATATCTTGGTCTTAGTGGTTGCACTTGTCCAGCAGAAGGGAGCTATCACATGGAGGGCAGCCTTTTGGGAGGGAAAAAGGCTGCTTCCCTAAACTGCTACAGTTGCAAGGCAGAGCTTGCTTACCAGCCTCTAGGTAAAACAGGCGAGATTTATGTAAGCTTAAACTCTTGGTTATATTAGTGGTTGTTAATAATTTCACAGAAAAAGGTATTTCATACATCTAAATTACAAATTATAATTTCATAAAATGTTTACTCCATGAGTGACATGCCCACAGCAATATACAATCATTGTCAGAACCTTTTCTATTGCTGCCAGACATTACAACAGAAGATGGAATGGAAAGGCCAAAACTTCAACTATTTCCTCAAGAACCAAATCCCCTGCTTCTGGGAGAACAGGATTTTTCTCAATCTTTGCTCTTTTTCTGTCTTACAGCTTTACTGTGAAAGACCCAACTCAATCGGTGGTGTTACTAGTATAAATATACCAAAAGTAATGTTTTAATTAGGTTTCTGTTGCTCCCTCTAGGCAAGGATGTTTCTAGGAAGAAGGGTAGGGGACACAGCTAATAATTTTGTAGACAAAGATGGGAGGTGATAGCACTTTGGAATTTCCAGTTAGACCAAATAGAGGCTTCCTTGTTTTGTCTAGTAGTTAATTTTATTCAGATATCACAGTGTCATCTGCCTCTATCCCAGAGTCAGGTAACTCTTCTGCTGAGCCAGAAGACACAGAGGCAAAATGAACATTATCTACGCAGTTTATTTACACTCCTGAACAACTTTTCTTAGTTAAAGCTGAGATACTACTGTGATCAACAACAAATTTTGAAAAATAACTTGACTTCTACTTTTCTGGTACAAGGAACTGCCTTTCTCTACCTTCCTGTAAAACAGTAAGAAAGGTGTCACCAGAGAACTTACATAGATTTGCTTCAATTTGTAAAGCAAATCAGTAACATTTTGACGTGCATGGCAACATTCTGATGCGTGTTGAAGCCTCACCTGGTATGTTAATCCTCAAAAGGAATCCTTAAAATCACCAGGCTGGGACCATAATGCACCTATGAGCTTTACAGGCTCAATATGCAGTCCTTTCTGCAGGATGGGCTTTTTATTTTTACATCCCACTCCTCGCCCAACCCCCCTCCTTCCCCCCCAAATACAGGAGGCAAATGTAAATTAATTCATAACAAGCTTTAGAAACGCATTGTGCAGAGCAATTACCTTCATTCGAAATGATGGCTAATCAGAAGGCAGGAGAGATAAGAAACCCTGAAAATTCTCTACTTCTGCTCCACAAATGGAGAGACTTCCTTTATACAGAGGTGTTCTACTTTCTATTCTAATGGAAATTAGATGAGTTGACTGTGAGTAGCTCATGTTGCATACTGTTACCTAAAAAGACTTTCCCTCTCTAAAACTCTCTAATGAATCCCATTCCTGTTACCTTTCACCAATGTGGTTAAAGTTAAATAACAGAATCTTTTGCTTTGAGTAATGAAGACATGAACTGAAACACAAACATGTGTGCAGATGCAGCATTTCTGTGTGAACACAGACAAAGCAGTATCATTAAAGTGTCTGTCATGGTAACTAAACCAGCTAATGTGAAAGCTTTATCACCACATTTCCAGTGTCATGGCTAGTGATTTCCATCTAACTTCCCACCAGTCAGTGCTACAGCTTTGAGGAGAGCAAACCTTGCAGTGAACACTTTTTTCCTTTTGACTTCGTGTTGAAAAATAGTGTTTGTCTTACTGAAGAAGCAAAAGCAGTGTATTGTGGATTTCTGGGCAAGGAAATTGATGTTAGATTTCAACACCTAAGTTCAGAGGAAGCTTTGTCTTGTAATTCAGCAATCTGTAATAGGATTTGGTTCACTGTGTCTGGCTGAGACACTTGATTACTTTTCTTATTATATAATTAATTTAGACATCCTTACAGTGGGAAAATATCACACAACGGCAATACCCCTCAGAAAAGACTTTTCTTCCCTAAATGAGAATGTTAGGAACAGCCTGGAGGGAAAAGTTAAAAGATTAAAAGCAAAAGATCAGCATGGAGGCTTCTTAATGAATCGCTCATTAGGGTCAGAAAAAGGGAACCAAAGGCAGAAAGGAAAGAAAACAGTATGAGTAACTGGCAAAGTACAAGAGTTTATTCAGACAAAAAAAATCTTTTAAAATGGTAATGCAGCTAAGCCCAAGAGAAGTTAGTATCATTGTAAGTGTTGGTAGGTATAACACTGAAAGCATAGAGGCCCAATTGTGCTTTCAGTTGCACAAAACTCCTGTTAAGGGCAGATCATTATGAGGACTAGAAGAAAATTTGAGAATGTATGAGTCAATTGAACTAGTGAGTTTCTAAGGGGTTAATCAAAGAGAAGGAAAGGTCAAACATAGACACCTTAATCCATGTCAGTGTGAAAGGTATTATCACCCATGGAAAAACAACTTACTATGATCCTTAGTGCTTTGTCTGGAAGGCAGCACACTTAATAGAATGATCCCAAAATAGATGTTCTGCCAAATTTGTACAGCTTGTTTCCTGTTTTTTCCCCCCAAAGTAAAATTTATTGCTCTATTTTGAAAATAAAATTAATTGGTGAACTCTCTTTGCTGTCCTGAGATGTTCCTTGTGGGTACTGAGGACCAGCCAGAGGTAACAAAACAAAGGCAGCTGTTACAGCTGGAGTGAGCTAATCTATGATACTGTGAATCAGTGCATCCTCAAGCAGGTGCAGTCTCAGTTCTCAAGCAAACAAAAGTGCATAGAAGCCCAGAAGGGGTAGTGCTGTGCCTTCCCAGAGATGCTAAATGAGCTTCACTTTAGTGCTAGGAAAATTACTGTGCAAATCCTTGGATATGTGACTGTCCTTTACTGACATGGCTTTTATTTTTTGATGGCATGTTTAAGAACATGGAAGAACATCATAGAATATATTTGAAGGTAAAATAATTTTGAATCCTTTTTCTTTGAAGTGTTTTTGGGGAAGCCCATGTGAAAACAAATATTTTTACCTGATTTGAGAAAAACTGTAGTTGTCTAATCATGGCAAACTGCTAGTAACAAAACCAAGAGTAAAACACGGAAGATAGCACAACTAGAGTCCAAGTTTGATGACATATGTTGATTCCCCATGCCTTCCATTTCTGACTGCTGTACATCAAGTAGAGAGCCTGAGGACTGAGAAAACAAACCCTGAGCAGCTCTAGTGACAGCAGACTAACTCCCCTTGGTGAGGGGAGAAAGTAAAATTGTATAAACTTCTTGGCTTGGGCAACAAGAGTGGAGAAAGGGGAAAAGATAAAAACCAATAGCAGTTTATAAAGAAAGAGATGAAAAGGCAAAACACATCCTATAAACATAGTCTGGGAAGGGCATGAATGGTTTCTCAATAAACAAGCTCAGGCTGCATCTTTGTACATTATGTGCTGCCTGCTTCGAGGAAAGGCTCTGGCCAGGCTGTGCTGATGCTAAAGCAGAGTTAAATGGAGGCCAGCTGCCAACAGAACATTTTTTAGAGAAGTCAACTCTTGCATTTTTCTCCTTGTGTAAGACCCCCATCATGAAAGCACAGCTGTTCAGTGGTTTTCTGGAATGTTTTACTTATTTGCATGTGTCCCTCTGAGCTAGAAATGCTGAGGCACAGCACTCTCCTTCACTGTCTCCTCTCTGTTTTCAGAAAATGGAGTGGATTCAGGAATCCACTGAACTTTAATTTTTATTTCTGTCCCGAAACTTAATCTACTGAATTTTAATTTCTATTTCTGTCCCTAAACTCAATCTACTGATTATTAGATTCCACTAGCCAAGGATCTACCAGTAACTCAAAGTTGAATAATCTAGAAGTAAAGAAAGGAATAGGTGAATTAGCAGAAACTAGGAGTTTAGTTAAATCGTTCTTTGTTCTGGCTGTAACCCTAATTATAGCTTTCACCTCAAGCAGTGAAATACTGTCTAAATATTGACCTTGCCCAAATTCAGTATTAGTTTCTTTAGATATTGCCAGTTACCTTTTGCTGTAGCCTGCTTTTTGTCCTGTCTTCAATCATGCCACTCAGTGCTGCACTGCCAATCTGATCTCACTTCCCTGCTGTGAGGCTGTCTTCGGTTATTACCCGATGTCTGTGCCTACAAGAGAAAGGCTACTCAGCGACAATAAAAGGAGATAAACACCACAAATAGTAACCAAGCATTCTAGCTAGCCTTGTTATACAGTGAGTACCTGGACAGTTTTGCTATCAAACAAAACACAAATGGAATGAAAATTGTAAAAGACACCTGGCCAAAGGCCAAAATCTGTAGTTCTTTCACATGATGGTGCAGCAGAGAATTCTAACAGCATGTCATTTGGAACATGATATTTTACTACACTTTGTTGCAATTCACTTGAAAGCTCTGAGTAATTTTAGTATAATCCATCATTTATCTGAAGATAAGACCAAAAATGATTAGACCAGCAATTCTATTTCATATGTGCTTTGCCTCAAACAATCACAGCTGTTAGGACTTAGAGTCAAGATAACCTCTCTTTTGTTTGTTACAGCTGAGGTAAAAAAATGTCAAGTATGAGTACCATAACTTCCCTTGTTTGTCAAATTTGTTAAATTCCTCAAAATGTTCCAAAGTGACAAAGATTCCTCTAGGGTACATCTGCCAATTTTAGGGGTTTTTTTTTCTTTTGTTGGCAAAGGCATTTTAGAAAATGGTACAAAACATGGAATGAGTGCTCTGAGTAGAATGACTGTCCATTGTTGAAAGTGATCTTAAGAGACAAATTTGTTGATGGAAAGGGAATGGAAAGAAATACTGTCATTAGCAAAAGGATTACTGGCATGCTCTTCACTGCAAAGGTGTTTGGGATCAGAAGGAAGAGACAAAATGATACTGTGATTAGTAACCTTAGTACAGCCACAATTGTACTGAAATAGTTCTGCTGGAGCCTTTCTGCTCTTCAGGCTGCAGTGTTCCAACTTCATGAATGAGATCTGTGCATCTTGAAACTCACAGAGAACATTAGGGCAACACCTACTCAAACTCTCCAGTGCATTTGAACTCACCTCGTACTTACATGCAAAAATTTTAACTTTTATGCAAAGTTAATTCCATGTAAGTAGGCGAGGTTCAATGCTCAGCAATAGCAACCTCTTTATTCCTGTTGGATTTGTGGAAACTAGCAACAACAATGAAAAGAATGTCATAATTTTTCCTTCCATTTCCCTCTCTCTTCAAAAGTGATCCACATTTTAAATTCTGTTTTCAGAATTCCATGAGATTTCTAAAAATATTTTTTGTAACATTCTGCCATTTTACCTTCCCAAACCTGATCCAGAACTTCAGAGGCTGACTTCTTAAAAACACTCACCCTTAGGAGTAACTGTCCAAAAATGTGAACTGCCATCCAAGAATACTGAAAAATTCCTAATTAATTTTTGAGAGGAACACATGGTAAAACACAAGATCTGTGTCACTGCGTTTCTGATGGAATTGCTGTAGAGCTGAGAGCAGGAGGAACAAACAGCAGCAGTAAACAAGATAAGACTTGAAAACTGAGCCAAGATTACCCAGAGGCTAGAGATTTAGCTAAAAAGGCAATAGAGGCTACAGGACAAGCAGGCTGCTGTGGGCCAGGCTGTGCCTTCCCCCAGTCCTCCCAGCTGTGAGCTCCCAATCTCACCATGCTTGCAGCTCTGAAAGGATTCAGTTTGTGCTTCTCCTTCTGGAGAGAGATGATGGTTGCTGTGCTGCCAGCATTCCTTTCAGAAATAGGTGTGGGCAATACTTTGCTTTGCTGTCCACCCCCCTTCCTGACTTGGCCATTTGTCCTCTTGTTGTCATGTATTCAATATCAAGCCCAAGCAGATTTATTTTTAGGCCAATGAATCTTGATAACCCATCTCTGCAGCTCAGCTTTAGATACAACATATCCAAATCCAATTTTAGTTGATCTTTCCTTTCATTGAGGTAAGTCTCCTAGAAGACAACCATTAAATTCAGTTTAAAAAACGCACAAGACTAACCATGTAATGTAACTCAGATGTAGTATTTGATTAAAATAATGCATAAATATCCATGTTCTGTATCCACATCAAGATGAATATGACTTTTTAGGAAGTCATCAAGGTAGAAATAGGATACTTGAGGTGCAGAGAACATGCCAAGCACTCAAACAATTGCATGCTTCTTGGAGTGTGATTAAGACCCCTAAAATCTGGGCAGCAATAGCCACAGGCGAGCTTATGAATACGACTGGAGACACTAATAACTTCTGGAACACAAGAAGTTCCAGAGAAAAAAGAGCGGTAGTGAGCAAAGAGGAGTATTTTGTGACTGCTTAAAATAGTTTAAACTATTTTAAGCCTTTGCTTAAATAAGGTTTTAACTAGGACAGTGTAAAGGGAGTTTGTAATTTATGTAACTTTAAATTACCATATTAATTACTGTGTTTAACAATTGGCAGTGCCTGAGAAAAGAACAACCTAAATATGCTCCTTTAACAAACATGGAGGATAAAATTACCACAGAGGAGAAAACTTAGGAGTAGAAAAATGCAGTTGGTGCCCATTATCCAAAACAGAATTTTTTAAAATGGGCATTACCTCTGACACTTATTTCCATGTCAGTCCATACATTTCTAGAAAGTATAAATAAATCACCATGTTTACATTCTGCATCTGCCTCTGTTTTTATAGCACAACAAGAGTGAAATTAAATATATTTTCCAATATTTAATACAATTAAAGATAATATTATTCAGGAAACACAAATACCATCTGTTGTATTGCAACCATCATTCATCTTCTTGTTCCAAGAGGACTGTAAAAAGCAGGTTGTTGAGTTGTGATATTTGAAAGTTTAAGGCAGCACTCTCCTCACTTCTGTAGTCCTGTGGCTACTGACACTTCAGGTCGGTATTTGCAGCCTTTTAGATCAGTAACTTCTATCTGCAGTTTGTACATGCTGTCCAGCCCAAGAAGATACTCTTTCAAATCAGGAAGGCAGGACACCTTACACCATAGAAAATGAGCACACTTCTGCTCTCCCCGGTGCAAAAACTCTCTGCTACCATCTATTACTGTGGCAAAAGTAAGGGGAGAATGAAACCAGCTATATTGAAATTTAAATAGAAATGTGACTTCTTTTTAATTGTACATGGACAGTTTGCTTCCTTTTATGTTGTTGAACATAAACTTCGACGTCCACAATAGTCACAACCGACTTTTCTCTGCTATGTAATTCAAGTTGTAGAGAGGAAAATTGTGCAGAAATACCATGTTCCTGCTAGAAAGGCATATATTTTAAACTCTTAATACATGAGCAAAAGCTGAATTTGTAGGCACTTAATATTTTTGAAAGATCCTTTAATTTAAAAGATTATGGTGGCAACAAGCAAAATGGACTGCCATTGTCAGGAGTATGAAACATTTGTCTGACACTAAAACAGACCTAAAAAAGCCTTTCTACATCATCATGGTAATTACCTGCTTCAGGCCATACTTAAACCTCCTATTCAGAGAAAAATCTAATCATGTTAGTGCTGTGGGTTCATGAAAGTGACAAGAGAAGAGGCTTCCCTATACAAAAAAAAAAAATCCCTCTTTATACCTTCATCTGTGATTTTACTGAGCCAATTTACTACCTTGTCCTATGCTATGCAGCACAACACAATCCCAATGAATTCTTCTGCTTTTGGAAGTGATGGAAATTTACAGCGAACTGTAGCATGCTCTAAGCAGAATCCTGCTGTCCCTTATTGCCTTACATCTCATTAATTCTAGGGGTTTTGCAGAAATATAGAAATAGGTGTAACTGAATACTGCAATTTTACTGCTTGTACACATCATGACCTGACTTAATTACTGATAGACCGGCTGACTTAGATGAACACAGGGCATGTACTTGTAAGTAGCTGGTAACATTAAGTGTTTTGATGCACGGAGACAGGAAGAACAGTAAATATATTACAGGACTTCAACTGAACTTGCTGAAGAACTCTAGTCCAAGTGTGAGTCCAAGAGAAGCTTAGAAGCTGGCCGGAAAAAAAAAAAGGCAGGGAGCCATTCTTACTTTACTAACTAGAGTTAATCTCTGGTTGTAGGTCACTCCAATTCTTGCTCTGTAGAAAAAGGATAAATCTGGTTATGGAGAGTGTATGCTACAAAATTCTGATTAAATCAATACTTGCTGCTAACTGGTGGAAGTTGCATTGCCTGCCAGACGGAGAAACTGAACTGTTTGCACAACTCCCAGAAAGCATGAGCGTCACTTTTAGTGTCTGATTAATTTCTATCGTGAGCTTAGCACAGTGATAGAAATTTAATTGCTCATCTGATCCTGAGCAGAGGTGACAGGGCTGCGTCTTGCAGGATGTTGGGATGAGCCTGGCTGGTGCGGTGGAGTTACTGCTCCGAGCGCTTGTCTCCTGCCAAAGGGCGCCCCTGCTTTCGCTTCAAACTGCGGACAAGACTCAGAGCTCACACGCGGCAGGGCTGGAGTCTGTGGGGCACTTTATCCTCTCAAAAAATTATATGGAGCGGGCCTCGCAGGGCAAGCCAGAACGCGGGGGATTAAGTGGCTGCGCTTCGTCCGGGACCGAGCCTCCCTGTGCCAGCTCTGTCTAAGCCGAGCATAAATTCAGTAGGAGGCTGTGCCGCGCTCGCAAACGCTCCGGTTGCCCCTGGCCGAAGGTGCCCGGCCGGGATGCGCTTACCTGGGTCCGGGCTGAGCTGAGCTGAGCTGGGCTGAGCTGAGCTGAGCTGGGCTGGGCTGGGCTGGGCTGGGCTGGGCCGAGCTCCGGGCGCGCTCCGTGCCGGCCGCACCGCTCCTCCCGCTCGGTGCGCGGCCCCTCCGTTTATAGCGAGGGGCGTTGCGGCTCAGCCCGGCTCGCCCGCCGCCTCTCCCCACCCATCTCCCGGGACGGACCCCGCTGACCCCGCTCCCTCCCACTTCCCCTCCTTCCCCTCCTTCTCCTCCTTCCCCGCCCGTCCCCGCCCGCGGCTGGCAGCTGCCGGCAGGACGGGGATGCCGGGCACTGGGGAGCCGCGCTGGGCAGAGCCAGCGCCGGGGAGTTGGGATCCCTCGGGAAGTGCGGCCGCCAGCCCAGCGCAGGCTGCAGGGATGCGGTGAGGGATGCACTGAGGGGCCCCTTGCTTTCCTTTGCCTTCAGCTTTCAGGGGAAGGGATCGCGAGTGATGTACAAACATTCTCAGTTTCTCTAAGACTCCCCAGGGCAGCCAGTGAGCACAAGTGAAATGTTTTGATCGTTACTAATGAAGTTAAATGTATAATTGCCGTAATAAATCTGGCAAACTTCATCCTCTGGGAGTGGAGCGGAGCAGAAACACAGGAAGCCCCCTTGGAATAAAAGTTCTAGGAGGACTTTTCATGTCATCAATCACTGTCATTTAATGAAACGATTTTGTGTACGAGAGATTTTGCTTGTGTCTCTCTCGATCTGCTAAACAGGTCAGGAAACAACTTTTCAGGCAAAATTTGTGAGACTCCCATGCTCATCAAGAGCAGGATTTTAGAAGTTATGTTTCATTTTAGGGCCATCACACCATAGTTATGGACAGAGTTAAAACTTCCAATGGGAGCTGCACAACTGTGAATTGCTTCTCAATCTTTTTATACACCTAGTGTGTTTTTGAAGGCTCTCTTAAGAAGGACATGATCTAGGACGGCAATATCCTTCCAAGGTTGGCAGTACAGCTTTATTGTGGCTAAGAATAATTACAGTCTATTTAGTCATAGTGGTAGGAGAGGCAAATCAAGAGGAAAGATTTGGATTCTGCAGTGATAACAACTAGTTTTTCAGTATCTGC